AGCAGAAACAAAGCAGACACTTGACTGCAGAATAATAATCTGTGTCATGGCCCATCTGTTCTGAAGCAGGGTTTCTCTTCTGCTCAGAGAGAGACTGAAACATCAGGTCTGGTTCCAGCGGTGGATATGGACAGACCTGGATTTACACGATTCAGAAAAACAAGTGAGTCACATGAAAACAACTCATCCATCCATCCATTTTCTTCCGCTTCATCCGTTGTTCTGTCGAGTTGGTCTGCCCGTCGAGATGATCTGGCTCAGCTGTTAATGATGTAATGCAAACCTGCGCATGCGCGTCTCACGGCAGCCAAAGCAATCCAAGATGGCGGACATGTAGTCCGCGAATTGCTTTAAAAGTTAAATATGAACGAATTAAGACACGAATGTCACTTTTAATGCAATTTGAGGCGAGATGTTGTTGGTTCCGAGTTGTGATATGTGGGTTTTAAGAGTACGAGTTTCGTGTAAAGTTTGTTTTAAGCAGTACACTGCTCCTGTGAAACTACACTGCTAGCTGTGCCCAAATCTGATTTGCGCATGCGCACAAACCCGCCAGAATGGGGAAAAAACTCGATCTAATTAAATATTTTGTTTGAACACACTATTGTTAATCATATTGAATACAGTATGATACATGCATAAAAATTTAATTTATTATTTCCATTATCAACCCGACAGACCAGTCACAGGACGCGTCATGGGCCTGACGTATGCAGCAGTCAACTCAGGGACAGCGATCACACAGCAGCAGTGTAGTTTCACAGGAGCAGTGTACTGCTTAAAACAAACTTTACACAAAACTCTTACTCTTAAAACACACATATCACACGTGGAACCATCAACATCTCGCCTCAAATTGCATTAAAAGTGACATTCTTGTCTTAACTCGTTCGTATTTAACTTTTAAAGCAATTCGCGGACTACATGTCCGCCATCTTGGATTGCTTCGGCTGCCGTGAGACGCGCATGCGCAGGTTTGCATTACATCATTAACAGCTGAGCCAGATCATCTCGACGGGCAGACCAACTCGACAGAACACCGGGTCGCGGGGGCAGCAGTCTAAGCAGAGACGCCCAGACTTCCCTATCCACACACACTTCCTCCAGCTCGTCCGGGGGGACCCCAAGGCGTTCCCAGGCCAGAGAGAGACATAGTCCTTCCAGCGTGTCCTAGGTCTTCCGCGGGGCCTCCTCCCGGTGGGACGTGCCCGGAACACCTCCCCAGGGAGGCGTCCAGGAGGCATCCTGAACAGATGCCCGAGCCACCTCAACTGGTTCCTCTCGACGTGGAGAAGCAGCGGCTCTACTCCGAGCTCCTCCCGTGTGACTGAGCTCCTCACCCAACTAATTCATTTTCCTCTTTATTCAATTTAGAAAACTACCAAAACATTACTCTCTCTCACACACATCTACAACAAGCACACACGTTCAGCACACACACACACACACCTACAACACACACCTACAACACACACCTACAACACACACACACACACACACACATTCATGGTTAGGTTTAAGTAACAATAAAACATAAATATATTTTTTTAAACATTCGGATGAAAACAGACAAAGACCATGTGGAAATGTAAAACTCATGAAGAGTTTAAAACAGTTAAAGACCGTTTGATAAAAGTGTGTTTTAAGAAAACTCTGATGGAGCTTTATCTCAAATATCATTGGGATGACGTCAGACGCACGTTCACAGATGGAGCTGTCCACGGTACCGTCACTGCAGTAAAGTACCACTAGAGGGCGCCATGGCCCACACCGAGGACATCCGTCTGAGAGGTCTGGTGCTGGTGGAACTGGTGCTGGTGTTACTGGTGCTGGTGGAACTGGTGCTGGTGTTACTGGTGCTGCAGGAACTGGTGCTGGTGGAACTGGTGCTGGTGTTACTGGTGCTGGTGGAGCCATGTCCAGCAGACGGCGCTGTGTGTTTTGTTTTAGAATGTGCAGTATTTTGACCACAGAAGAAAAGAATGAGCTGTGATAAAGAACAGGACCAACACGTGACAGTGTCTTGCCGTTTTTCCACAGTCCTAGTACGGTACGTTTTGATTCTACGCGGCGCGCCATGGCCCAGTTCGCGTGCTTTTCCATCACATTTATCTGTTTGGGACATTCACAACAACAGATTAGTACTAACTGCAAAACCAGAGAGAGAGACCAGAGAGAGACCAGAGAAAGACCAGAGAAAGACCAGGGAGAGAGACCAGAGAGAGAGACCAGGGAGAGAGACCGGACAGAGACCAAAGAGAGACCAGAGAGAGACCAGAGAGAGACCAGAGCGAGACCAGAGGGAGAGACCAGAGAGAGACCAGAGAGAGAGAGACCATCATACAGAGATAACAGTTCTGTCAGATACAGGGAATAAACCATTTAAACATTTAAAAACAAGCATCAGAATCTTAAAATCCTCTCTGAATGTGACAGGATCCAGTGAAGTGAGGCCAGTACAGGAGTGATGTGCTCTCTCTCTCTGACGTGTCCCTGTGAGCATTAGCATTAGCATTATTTTACCTGCTGTAGGCGCTTAACTTTTATAATAATAATAAAACGGTGAAATACGACATGAGAAGTTTAAAGCTGTTTGATAAAAGTGGATTTTAAGAAGTGATTTAAAAGAGGATACTGATGGAGCCTTATTTCCTCGAGCAGATGGTTCCAAAGCCGAGGACCCCGGACAGAGAAGGCTCGGTCTCCTTTCGTCCGGAGCCTCGACCTTGGAACAGGGACAGGGACCTCACAGGGACCTCCCACAATCAAACAAGCCTTGTTTGATTGTTTTTATCTTGTTCTGTACTTTCCTCGTGAATGAACTGTGCTTTACAAATAAATTTGCCTTTCCTGTTTTTCTTATCATTCAGTAATGCGTCAGTTTCGCAGTCTGGCCACAAGAGGGCGCCAAAGAACCAGAGGCAGCAGCCCTGATGGTTCTGTGGTTTCTCTTTAGTTTTCATGATTTCAGCCTCAATTCTAATTTTGAGTTTTAAATTAGAGTTTTCATAGAATATATCATTTTAAGTTCTATCGATTTCCTACCCGATTTTTTCTATATCTATATTGTGTTGTGTTTTTACCTATATTCAACCACATTTATTAATATATATGAAAATCTGTCCGCGATGAACCAATGACCCTGTGTTTAAACAGTTTGATTCTCTGATCTGTGCTGGTGAATCGACAGTATGTGTCAAAGGTAGAATCAAAGAGACACACAATCACTGCTCATAGGCGTTCATAATGCAGTGTCGCTCCCATCAGGGCGGTAGGAAGATGGCGCGGCAAGGGCCGTTTGATGCCGCTTGCGGCTTTAATTTATACCTGCTTCTTTATCAATCCAAATGGAAACACTACTTTATACTTCTTTATTGCGTTAAAGTCCGAGATTTTGTTCTTAGTTCTTGCTTCTTCATTTTGCTAAAATTGGAGATTCTGGAGGACTTCCTTATTATGCAAGAGATTTTATTTAGTATAGTGTGTTAATTTATCTTGGGCTGTCTCATTCCTACTGTTCTGTACCTGGTGATGCAACACTGACATTTCCCCACAGTGAGACCATATATATATAAATATGTAATAAATCACAGACTCAGAGACACAGTCCATTTTTCTCATCTTTAATAACACATTCATATCTATGCTCTGTTTGTTTACAAGGAGTTTAAAACAAGTGTTGATGAGGACTAAAGGAATCAGGCAGGCAGAGGGTGAAAGTCCATATACTGTACGACCAACAGCGCCACCTGCTGGAGGAAGGCTCTCCTAGAACCAAACACATCTGTGCATAAGATCAATGCTTCAACTCCACGTTTGGGTTGGAATAAAGTAATTAGCCATATTTTCTGAGACAAATAACATGTGATTTTAATGTTAAAGGCCAAATCTAGCTGCCAATTTTCGATATTTTTTTATTTTGTGAATTAGTGCCGATGTCTGAGCGTTCCTCCTCCACAAGATGGCGCCCTGGTCCGTAACAACAACAGGTCCTTTATTTATTTACTCATTCTCAAACGACAGAAGTGAAAACATAGCTATAATCAGTGTGGGAGGTCCTCGCACGTAAGCTTTTTCCACCGCAAAAAAAGAAAGAAAAATTGCTAAATGCACCCAAACACAAGAGTTACAATCTGCTGTCAGAAGAGAGACAAAATGATAAGAGTATTTTGAGGTTAAACAAAAGCGTTATGAGACAAAAAACGAAAATTGCAAATTGAATATAGAATCTCAATGATGTTGGGTTTCAAGAAGATAGTTAAAAGACAGGTGCTAAGTTTATGACGTTCCATTTAAAAATCCTTTAAAAACAACTAAGAATGGTGAAAGAAAAATACAAATCTTTGGAAGAAATCCTTCAATAGACTATTCACTACAGTATATGGAGATGCCACTACCCAGTTATTAATTATACCTAACTTTTATTTCGAGAAACTTTTTTTTTTTTGTCGTTTTGAGTGCTTTTTCGAGAGAAAAAAATCCATTCATCTATTTTTTTGCTAAGAGGTAGATCAACGAAACATATACATGGTTACAGGTGTGAGATGTCGCAAAGTGAGGAGTGGGAAAAGTGTGAGGCAGCGCTGGTAACTTGGAAAATTTGCAACCTGAAGGTTGAAAATACCTGGTTTAAACACCTGGACCAATCAGATTGCTCAAATACTGCCACGCCCCTTCACTCCACATCTCCCAACCATGTGTCCTTATTAGCTTTTTGTTGTTTTTATCATATTTATCTTTACAGTCTCATCTTGTACAAGTGGGAGGAGTCACGTGCTCCTCCACAACTGAAAAACAAATGATAAAGTCGCAATATTTCAACTTTATTTTGTCTGTCCTGTTTGCATCCGTCCAGCTTAGACCGATGCGCTCGCTACAGAGTCCAGCGTCTAACAATCTTCTTGCCGAGTTTGTTGTTGCTGTTGTTGTGTATTTTGAGGTAGCGTTCCTAGTTATGTGTCGAGAGGTTGTTTCGTCATCGCGAGCCGCTGTCGTGGCTCATGGAACAAGGTCGAGGAGGAGTTTGGAGAAACCACCTCCAGGCCGACGGTCTGGACACGCTCACGGCTCAGAGGAAGAAGCAGTCTCACAGAACCAGCAACTGTACCACTGTCCATCCGTCTCATGAGCATAGGGCCACCACAACCACATCTGAGGCTCCATTCCCACCAGCCCCACTCGGCTCGGCTCTACTCTACCTGGTTGTGTTTCCATAACGCTTTAGCATCTGGTATTGTATCCTAGCAACCAAACCTTTGGCCAATAACTGCCAGTTAGAACTCTTTAGTACCAGCTTGGGCTGGATAGAACCAGGACCAAGAGGGACTAAAGAAGGACCTGGTACTCGTTACACAGAGTAGAGAAGAGTAGAGTAGAGTTTGGCCTAGTTGGGCTGGTGGAAACAGGGCTCAATACTCTTTGTGCTCTATGGCGCCTCACTAGGCCACGCCACCAACAATTATGTGGTTTCAAAGTCACGTACCCCTGCTTTAAGTCAATTTGGGTAGCAGCGAAATGACATGGTGTGATACTAAAAATACCCTTTTGAATTCCATAACCTGTAGTTTAGAAAAAGCAAAGGCCTAACGTCATAGAACATTCATCTTGGTCTCGAGTCTCTCTTGTGTAGAGCTTGCATAGTACTCCCAAAATCCGAGTTTGGCCAAAAAGCACATGTTATCGTAGCGTTTTTGTAGCGTTATCGTAGCGTTATCGTAGCATTACCGTAGCGTTAGCGTCTGTGTACAGATGTGGACAGTGGTACAGTGGTCTGCGGCGGCTGGTTGTCCAGAGGCCCGTGTGGAGTCTGACCTCGGCTTCTCAGAGTAGGATGTGCTCGCGCAGGACTCTAACCCGACACCAGGATCTGACCCGACACCAGGATCTGAGGCTGAGGGCGAGGCCTGCGGTGGCACCGGACCGAGCTACAGTGTTGTGCAGTAGCTGTTGCTGTGCATTTCGAGACAAATATAGTAAAATCCTAAGAGTCAGTGTCAAAAAACAAAATAGTAAGTTGTTTAAAAAGGTCTTGTGAGCAAAACGAACACGATAGAGACCAGCGCAAGAGAGGTGAGGGATCCTGACTGTCCCGCCCACTCCACAAAGTAACCAAACTAAAAACCTCTGGAGGAAGCCCACAGGGAACTCTTTACTCCCCCAGGATCTTTTTTCAGATATTGTCGCTGCATTTCATCGTGAATGCAGCAGTCGTCCCCAGATGTCGCGTCCAAATAAAGCTTGCTGTATTGTCATTAACTTAATTAACCCTTCCCCTAAAAAGAAACAAAAAAGATTAATTATCTGAAAGGAATCTGAATGACGCAGGTTGGTTTTGATCCTGTAATAGTTTGTCTTGGTAACAGAGCTCTATGGTTTTGGAAAGAGGAACCTCTGACGGGGTTCTCTTCTCGGCTCAGTTCTAAACAGAAGCAGACACAGTAAAATAGACCTTCGCTGTCGGGGTCGTCACCAAGCAGAGGGTACAGAGGAGTTCTGGCAGTGTCCGTGATGGCTTGGCGATCTATTGTCCCAAGGACCTCCAGGAGTTGAACTATTTTCTCGCAAAAAGTAGAAAAAGTGGTCACTGTGGTCAGCCTGGTTTCTGTACAGGTCAGAATCTATTTTGAAACTCTCTTGTTTAAAGCAAGTCGCTCCCACTTTTGAGCATCCGTCTGTTGGAAGCAGACGATAGAGACCATAGGTTCTCTTCCTACTTTTTTCTGCTTTTTTCACCCAAACCACATCTCCAGACTAAACGGAACATTCCAAACCAGTGAAACGCAGTCACACACATTGAAACAGGGAGCTGAGGTCAGTGCACGAGTCGATTCACATTCAGAGAGTCACAGTGAGGACTCTCTATAATGTTTGGCATGTCATGATGATGTCATGATGATGTCATCATAGTAAGGCAGGAGAGGAGGGGCCCTCAGGACACAGCAGGGTCATGAGGAGGTTCCCATGTGCGCCTGTGGACCCCCTCCTCTCACCCCTGTCCCCATTGGTCACATCACACACACTCACACGTCAGGAAGACAAAGAGCCTGTTTTCCACTAAAGGCAAAATGGCACGTCCCACATTTCCTCAAACTGAATCTCTGCTTTAAAAACAGTCTTTGTGTCGTCCTGAGCCATTCACACACATAAAAAAACAGAAAAAAATATCAAAGCAACAAGACAATACTTTAAAAAAAAGTAATTTTCTTCTTAAAAAAATAAAAAATATTCAGGTCTATCAGATCTTTTTTATCTTATATAAAATACCAGCAAGCGGAAAAAAATAATAGGAATACTGAGGTAACTTTACCCTGAGGTAGGTTTTTCTTTTTCTTCTCTAATCTGTTCTAATATCAGCAGAGCGTCCACCCGAGACCCCGCCCCTCATTATAATACGCAGAAGGGGTCCGGAGGCTCCGCCCACAGGCTCAGAGGGTTCCACCCACAGGGTCCGGAGGCTCCGCCCACAGGCTTAGGCAGTTTGGGAGAGAGACTTAGGGAGCTGCTCCTTCACTCTGATTATTCGTCTGTGAGCTCAAGGCAAGAGCACTGTCCTCCAGAGGGCGCTGTCCTCCAGCTGTGGACACTGTCCTCCAGCGGGCGCTGTCCACACAGTGTCCACAGCTGGAAGACAGCACTGAGACACTCCTTGTCTTTGCTGTAACAAGCTGTAACTTCTCCAGCTTCTTGCCTTCTCCTTTCTCCAGAGGGGCCAGGCTAACTCACATATCATATATATATAATATATATAAAATATGCCATTTAAGGTGCAGGCCGCTAGCCAGCTAGCATAGCTGGCTGTGTTCTCCAAAGCTGTGAGTGTGAGCTGAGCCTCTGCATTAAACTGCAGGACCAGCCGCGGCCTCTGCGAGCCTTACTGTTTCCTGCTGGGCCTGGGGCCCCGGCCCCTGACGCTGTACACAACAACAGCTACATATCACTCAGGGGTCAGAATCCAGACACAGCATTACTACACTTTTCATGAAGATTATTTATTTACAACCTCATAGTTTCATTATCTTCTACTCTCTCCACGACCAGGAGAGGTGTTTAAAAAGCAGTGTTAGCATCTGAGCCCCTCTTCTGTCCTGACAGCAGCTCCCTCTCTCTCTCCCGCCTCTGTTTGACTGCATTCTATCAATAATAGCTCTGAATAAACATTTCTATACATATATCTCTATTTAAAAAACGCCCTTGCAGGTGAGGCTGGGTTCAAGTGGTGGTGAGGGGGGAGCGGGGCCCTCATCCATCCTCCCTCCATCTGAACCAGTCTCTTCTGGCCTGGCATCTGTTCACTTTCTCTTTTTTTTAATAATTTCTTCTTTTTGATTAGAATCCTCTCTTATGTCTGTCATGGGCGTACTCCCTCCCTCTGTAGAACTCTCCTATCTATTGCTGGGTCCGTGTGTTGCTCTCGTTTCCGTTCGTCTGTCCGTCTGTGTCCGTGTGTCTTGTCCGTGTGTCTTCTGTAGTTCACTTCCTGCGCGGCTGGTCCTGAGCCAGCGCTGGGGGAGGGCCCCCCATCTCACTGAAGCCCTGAGGCTGAGGGCCGGGGCTCATGTTGCCTTTGTGTGAGTGTTTCACCTGGGTCAGGATCTCACGGATCTTCCTCTGAGCCAACTGTGACACAAACACCAGCGTTAGCACCACTTTACAATCACTGCTTTAGTGTAGAGCTTTAACCAACGTGTCGCTAAAACACACAGCTCATCTTACACTACACTTTTTTAGCTGAGTCCCTGATCCTGGTCCACATTTCTTAAATGGTTAAAGTCATAACCATATTTCGGATGCGCAAATGATAATTTCTGTAATATATGTGACATATCATACAAACAAATGAAATGATCTCAGTGACTCAAACATCTTTAAATGAACAACAGACCCTTCATGACTCACGTTGTCAAAGCTGATGGACACTTCTGACTCAGTTCCAGTTGGAGACATTTATGTAATTGGGAGATTTCATGACTCTTTGAAGCTGAATTCACTATAACACATTCTAAAGCTCTGGTACTCAAATGCTGCTCAAATAGTGTTCCGGGCGTCTGAAAACTCTGCCATCGAAGCTACAGAACCTTTTCCATGATCGAGACAATCATCATAATTATAGACTTAGAGGCAGGAAAACAGTGTATGTGCCTAAATGTAGGACTAAATGTGTCTCAGTGCGAGGAGCCGCTGTTTGGAACGATCTATCAGAGGAATTAAAGACCCGCTCAAACCTGATCACATTTAAAACAATGTTTAAAAAATATATATTGAACAAATATATGGAAGAGAGATGCCTTGAGCACAGAGCAAGTAGTCAGAGAGAGGTGTAGGGTCGGAGAGTGTTTGGGCCTGTGTATTGTCACTGTGTGTGTGAATGTGTGTGTATGTGTGTGTGTGTGTTTAGTGTTGTCTGTCTTATACCATCGGTGGTAGAATTGTATAACTATTTGTAATGTACCGTTTGCGAATTCTACTGCATGATATTTCTAAAACACTTTGTCTGATGGAGTTGGAACCAAAATAAGCACTTGCTTCATCCAACTCCTTTTTGAACCAGGTACAGGTTATTTGTCTGTTATATTGATATGTGAAAAAATATGTATTGTGCAGGTTCGAAATAAATAAATAAATAAAAAATAACATCTTTGTCCGTGTCTCGTTTCTACCTTCGACAATACAACATGTCGTCTGTCTTAAGTAAGATTGTGCTTTTGTCTTTTGTATCTTGGGTGGTAGTCTGTGTTTTGTTTCTATCTGTGGTCCAACATGTGTGTGTATTTTCTGTGTTTTAACTGTTGATTCTCTGATCTGTGATTTCAATGGTTTTGTTAAGTCTCTGAGATGATGCTGCTGTGATTTAGGGAAATACAAGAATAAATTAAATTGAAATTGAATAGCTGCTGGTCCTGTGTGTGTTGTTGTGTAGCTGCTGGTCCTGTGTGTGTTGTTGTGTAGCTGCTGGTTCTGTGTGTGTTGTTGTGTAGCTGCGGGTTCTGTGTGTGTTGTTGTGTAGCTGCTGGTCCTGTGTGTGTTGCTGTGTAGCTGCCGGTCCTGTGTGTGTTGCTGTGTAGCTGCTGGTCCTGTGTGTGTTGTTGTGTAGCTGCGGGTTCTGTGTGTGTTGTTGTGTAGCTGCTGGTCCTGTGTGTGTTGTTGTGTAGCTGCTGGTTCTGTGTGTGTTGTTGTGTAGCTGCTGGTTCTGTGTGTGTTGTTGTGTAGCTGCTGGTCCTGTGTGTGTTGTTGTGTAGCTGCTGGTTCTGTGTGTGTTGTTGTGTAGCTGCTGGTTCTGTGTGTGTTGCTGTGTAGCTGCTGGTCCTGTGTGTGTTGTTGTGTAGCTGCTGGTTCTGTGTGTGTTGCTGTGTAGCTGCTGGTCCTGTGTGTGTTGCTGTGTAGCTGCTGGTTCTGTGTGTGTTGCTGTGTAGCTGCTGGTTCTGTGTGTGTTGCTGTGTAGCTGCTGGTTCTGTGTGTGTTGCTGTGTAGCTGCTGGTCCTGTGTGTGTTGTTGTGTAGCTGTTGAGTAGCTGTTGTGTACCTGACTGGCAAAGAAGTGTCCGTTGATCTTGACGATGACCTGGTCGTTCTCGTCGGGGGTCTGTTCTCTGGGGACCACCACCTCCGCTGCCGTCAGGTTCTGCAGCTCGTTCACCTGAGACACACAACTCTTTACAGAACTGTTTCACCAGAACCCCCAGAACAGTCAAATTGACGGCTTTTAGTTTTAGAAGAGTAACTACTGTCTGTAGCTTTGTGGTCATCATGACATCATGTGTCCTTATCTTTAAGAAATTATCGTATTATTGTTTGAAACATAGTTCTATCTTTGAAGTGCGAGGGCCGGTTACCATAGAAACACACTGTTTATCGTCAGCAGTTAGCCTTTAGCCTTTCAACAAACTGTTTTAGCCCTTAATAAAAGTGAGTAAAGGTTAAAAAAAAACCTTATAAATGACTCACTTTAAATAAATCTGGTGAAAGACTAAAAATACTTTGAGGGAATTTCTCATAACTAAATTGGTTTGAATGGGAGCAGTCAAAATGATGGCTCTGGGAGTTTTAGTAGTTTCATAATTGTAGGAGTCCTTGTCCTGAGTTGTAGGCCTACCGTCTTGCCGCCCTTTCCAATGACTCTGCCTGCAGCTGTGGCCGCCATCTTGATGTGAGTCTCCAGTTTGACCTCTTCTTTAGGACCAAAGAAGTTTTCCTCTTTGAGTTTTCCGTAGATCCGGCCCTGAGCCTACCACACAGAAACGTTACAATTAGTTTCCACAACTCATTCACCGTTAGCTTCCAGGACTCAAAATATTAAGTCCACAAACTCTCTGCTCTGACAACTCCAGAATAAAAACACACACATTAGCTGCATCGCTATATACGCCGCAGGGATCAAAGAACTAGAAATAAGTAGCCTTTTCTAGTCCAGAAATTACAGCAGACTAGATTTTTGTCATCAGTATTTGGCAAGAGAAAACCAGGAGAACTCTGAGAACCTGAAGACACTGGAAAGCCCTGAGAACCTGGAGAGCCCTGAGAGCCCTGAGAACCTGGAGAGCCCTGAGAACCTAGAGAACCCTGAGAACCTGGAGAACCCTGAGAACCTGGAGAACCCTGAGAACCCTGAGAACCTGGAGAGCCCAGACACAGGCCCACAGGACCCAGAGCACACGTACCTTGAACTGGGCCTCAGGGGGCCCGGTCACTATGACCTGTCTGACTTTAGAGTCCGAGGTCTCGGCCGGAGCAATCTGTGGGACAGAAAGATGCTCAGTCACTTTGAGATGAACTAAAGTTTGTGTAAAAAGTGGAAACAGACCTTGATGGAGGCTCCAGCGAAACGGCTCAGCTCTTTGATGTGTTGTCCTTTCTTTCCAATGATGGCTCCAACGGCCTGAGCCGGGATGAACACGAACACGGTCTCCTGCTCTGGAGCCTGCAGAGACATGTTAGAGTCACACTCTGAGGAGCACAGGGACTGGCCTCCTGCTGGGACTCTGAGGAGCACAGGGACCGGCCTCCTGCTGGGACTCTGAGGAGCACAGGGACTGGCTTCCTGCTGGGACTCGGAGGAGCACAGGGACTGGTCTCCTGCTGGGACTCTGAGGAGCACAGGGACTGGCCTCCTGCTGGTCCCAGAGTCAGGACTAAATGTGAGACAGACTTCTTCTCTGAATGTTTAAATCCAGTTTAAAACTGTTCTGTTTCTCCAACAACTGAAGGATTGTATAGACTCTTTTTAATGTACTGTGTTAATGAACTGTGCTATACCAATAAACTTGCCATGTGTGATGAGATGGCTGCAGACTTACCCCGTAGCCATAGAGAGAGCCGCCTCCACAGGAGTTTCCTGGAGGAGGAGGAGGAAGGCCACAGGAGGAAGGGAACAGGCCCAGAGCGCCAAGGTTCAGGCCAGGGATCAGGTGGGTCTGTTGCTGTGGACACACACATGTGTCAGAGAGAAAGTGTATGTGTGTGTGTGTGTTTGAGTTTACTTAGGACAAATTGGGGACAAAAATTATCTTCCCCAATTCCCCAAGCTCAGAAAAGTATTTCTCTTACAAAATCTCCAATGTCCCAAAAAGTAAATTTTATAGTTTTTTTTCTGTGTGTGTGTGTGTGCCCCCCACTGTGGGACTCTACATCGCCCTCTGGTGGTTGTGTATGGACCCACATATGTCCCCCAAGGGAGATGTAGTTAGTCTGTGTGTGTGTGTGTGTGTGTATTTATGAGTGTGTGCGTGTGTGTATGTTTTTATGAGTGTGTGTGTGTGTTGTGTGTGTGCCTCACGTTCATAGCAGCCACGTCGTTCTCATAGGCCTCCCGGAGCTTCTTGGAGATCTCCTCCTCAGCTCTGCAGATGTTGGCCTGACTCCCGGTGACGGTGATGGTCCTCTCTGGGTTGTACACAGTTAAGTCTTGTAAGCTGCGAATAATCAATTCACAGATGAGAGAGAAGCAGTGACTTTACAGAAAACACACAAATATAATATATTGAAGAGACCAGAGAGAGACCAGAGTGAGTCCAGAGTGAGTCCAGAGAGAGACCAGCGAGAGACCGGAGAGAGGCCAGAGAGAGACCAGAGAGAGGCCAGAGAGAGTCCAGAGAGAGTCCAGAGTGAGTCCAGAGTGAGTCCAGAGAGAGACCAGAGAGAGATCAGAGAGAGACCAGCGAGAGACCAGAGAGAGACCAGAGAGAGACCAGAGAGAGACCAGCGAGAGACCGGAGAGAGGCCAGAGAGAGATCAGAGAGAGACCAGCGAGAGACCGGAGAGAGGCCAGAGAGAGACCAGAGAGAGACCAGAGAGAGACCGGAGAGAGGCCAGAGAGAACAGAGAGAGACCAGAGAGAGACCAGAGAGAGAACAGAGAGAGACCAGAGAGAGACCAGAGAGAGACCAGCGAGAGACCAAAGAGAGACTAGAGAGAGACCAGAGAAAGAACAGGGAGAGACCAGAGAGAGACACCAGAGAGAGACACCAGAGAGAGACCAGAGAGAGACCAACGAGAGACCGGAGAGAGGCCAGAGAGAGACCAGAGAGAGACCGGAGAGAGGCCAGAGAGAGACCAGAGAGAGACCAGAGAGAGACCGGAGAGAGACCGGAGAGAGGCCAGAGAGAGAACAGAGAGAGACCAGAGAGAGACCAGAGAGAGAACAGAGAGAGACCAGAGAGAGACCAGAGAGAGACCAGCGAGAGACCAAAGAGAGACTAGAGAGAGACCAGAGAAAGAACAGGGAGAGACCAGAGAGAGACACCAGAGAGAGACACCAGAGAGAGAGACCAGAGAGAGACCAGAGAGAGACCAACGAGAGACCGGAGAGAGGCCAGAGAGAGGCCAGAGAGAGACCAGAGAGAGACCGGAGAGAGGCCAGAGAGAGAACAGAGAGAGACCAGAGAGAGACCAGAGAGAGACCAGAGAGAGACCAGAGAGAGACCAGCGAGAGACCAAAGAGAGACTAGAGAGAGACCAGAGAAAGAACAGGGAGAGACCAGAGAGAGACCAGAGAGAGACCAGAGAGAGACCAACAAGAGACCAGAGAGAGGCCAGAGAGAGACCAGAGAGAGACCGGAGAGAGGCCAGAGAGAGAACAGAGAGAGACCAGAGAGAGGCCAGAGAGAGACCGGAGAGAGACCGGAGAGAGACCGGAGAGAGACCGGAGAGAGACCAGAGAGAGGCCAGAGAGAGAGACCAGAGAGAGACCAACGAGAGACCGGAGAGAGGCCAGAGAGAGAGCAGAGAGAGAACAGAGAGAGACCAGAGAGAGACCAGAGAGAGACCAGAGAGAGGCCAGAGAGAGGCTAGAGAGAGACCGGAGAGAGACCGGAGAGAGGCCAGAGAGAGAGACCGGAGAGAGGCCAGAGAGAGACCGGAGAGAGAACAGAGAGAGAACAGAGAGAGACCAGGGAAAGAACAGGGAGAGACCAGAGAGCGACCTTTATTTAGTGTTATATGAGGCTGTATATGAATACACATGTGGTGCATTAGTAGCAGTCTTTCAAGGAGAGCCCTGTGTGTGTGTGTGTGCGTGTGCGAGTGTGTCTTACGAGGAGATGGTGATCTTCGTGTCTGTGTCCTGTTCCACCTTCTTCAGGTTCCGTCCCTCTTTTCCGATGAGCCGTCCCACAAAGTTGTTATGAGCCAAAATCTTCAGTGGCACCTCATCAGCACTGCAGAGAAACACACAAGTCACACAGAGATACACACAAGTCAGCACTGAGGAGAAACCCACAGGTTCACACACACAGTCAGCACTGAAGAGACACACATAAGTCACAAAGAGACATACACAGTCACACACAGGTACACACTGGGCTCAGAAACACACACAGTCACACAGAGACACACACAAGTCAGGACTGCAGAGACACACACAGTCACACACAGGTACACACAAAGGTACACACAGGGACACACACAGGGCTCACACACATACAGTACATACACACACACACACACACAAACAGAGGGCTCATACACACTCGCGCACACACTTACGTCTTGGTGTCCTTGGCCTCCTGGTGCATGATTTCCAGGATCATGCAGCAGGCGGAGGAGCAGCCCTCGGGGGTGGAGTGGATACTGATGGGCTTCTCTGCGGCCCCCGCATTCTCTTTACGATGGACGTCGATCCTGAAGCACAGACACAGGCTCTTATCAGACTGTGACGTCATCTGTAAACTCTGTGACGCCATCTGTAAACTCTGTGACGTCATCTGTAAACTCTGTAACGTCATCTGTAAACTGTGACGTCATCTATAAACTCTGTGACGTCATCTGTAAACTCTGTGGCGTCATCTGTAAACTGTGGCGTCATCTGTAAACTCTGTGACGTCATCTGTAAACTCTGTGACGTCATCTGTAAACTCTGTAACGTCATCTGTAAACTGTGACGTCATCTATAAACTCTGTGACGCCATCTGTAAACTCTGACGTCATCTGTAAACTCTGTGACGTCATCTGTAAACTGTGACGTCATCTGTAAACTCTGTGACGTCATTTTTAAACTCTGACGTCATCTATAAACTCTGACGTCATCTGTAAACTGTGACGTCATCTATAAACTCTGTGACGCCATCTGTAAACTCTGACGTCATCTGTAAACTCTGTGACGTCATCTGTAAACTGTGACGTCATCTGTAAACTCTGTGACGTCATTTTTAAACTCTGACGTCATCTGTAAACTGTGACGTCATCTGTAAACTCTGTGACGTCATTTTTAAACTCTGACGTCATCTATAAACTCTGACGTCATCTGTAAACTGTGACGTCATCTATAAACTCTGACGTCATCTGTAAACTCTGTGACGCCATCTGTAAACTCTGTGACGTCATCTGTAAACTGTGTGACGTCATCTATAAACTCTGTGACGTCATCTGTAAACTGTGACGTCATCTGTAAACTGTGACGTCATCTGTAAACTCTGACATCATCTGTAAACTCTGTGACGTCATCTGTAAACTGTGTGACGTCATCTATAAACTCTGTGACGTCATCTGTAAACTGTGACGTCATCTGTAAACTGTGACGTCATCTGTAAACTCTGTGACATCATCTGTAAACTCTGTGACGCCATCTGTAAACTCTGTGACATCATCTGTAAACTCTGACGCCATCTGTAAACTCTGTGACGCCATCTGTAAACTCTGTGACGTCATCTGTAAGCTCTGTGACGTCATCTGTAAACTCTGTGACGTCATCTGTAAACTGTGTGACGTCATCTATAAACTCTGACGTCATCTATAAACTCTGACGTCATCTGTAAACTCTGTGACGCCATCTGTAAACTCTGTGACGTCATCTATAAACTGTGTGACGTCATCTGTAAACTGTGACGTCATCTGTAAACTGTGACGTCATCTGTAAACTGTGACGTCATCTGTAAACTCTGTGACGTCATCTGTAAACTCTGTGACGTCATCTGAAAACTCTGTGACGTCATCTGTAAACTCTGTGACATCATCTGTAAACTCTGTGACGCCATCTGTAAACTCTGTGACGCCATCTGTAAACTCTGTGACGTCATCTGTAAGCTCTGTGACGTTATCTGTAAACTCTGTGACGTCATCTGTAAACTGTGTGACGTCATCTGTAAACTCTGACGTCATCTGTAAACTGTGACGTCATCTGTAAACTCTGTGACGTCATCCGTAAACTCTGTGACGCCATCTGTAAACTCTGTGACGCCATCTGTAAACTCTGTGACGCCATCTGTAAACTCTGTGACGCCATCTGTAAACTCTGTGACGCCATCTGTAAACTCTGTGACGCCATCTGTAAACTCTGTGACGCCATGTGTAAACTCTGTGACGCCATCTGTAAACTCTGTGATGTCATCTGTAAACTCTGTGACATCATCTGTAAACTCTGTGACGCCATCTGTAAACTCTGTGACGTCATCTGTAAGCTCTGTGACGTCATCTGTAAACTCTGACGTCATCTGTAAACTCTGTGACGTCATCTGTAAACTGTGACGTCATCTGTAAACTCTGTGACGTCATCTGTAAACTCTGTGACGTCATCTGTAAACTATGTGACGTCATCTGTAAACTATGTGACGTCATCTGTAAACTGTGACGTCATCTGTAAACTCTGTGACGTCATTTGTAAACTGTAAACTTTGACATCATCTGCAAACTGTGTAAACTCTGTGACATGATCTGTAAACTCTGTGACATCATCTCTGTTACAGTGTGTGATGATAAAGGTTCCTCTGCTGCAGTGTGTGATGATAAAGGTTCCTCTGCTGCAGTGTGTGGAGCTCACTTGCTCTGCGTCTGTTTGGTGATGTTGCGGATGGTGGCCCCCTCTTTGCCGATGATGGCCCCCACATACTGCGTGGGCACCAGGAGCCTGAGGGGGAAGTCAGGATGGGGCTTCCCTGCGGCGTGTGAGGGAGAGCCACTGCGAGGTCCTCCTCTGGGACCGTACCCCGGTCTGCGGCCGTTGTCTGGGCCTCTCTGTCCGTCCACCTCACAGGTCTCGTCAGGGATGTAGGACACGTGCAGAGCGTTGTTCTCAAACTGGTATCCGTTTAGCTTCTGGATGGCTCTGATCACACAAAGTCACAGAGTTATGAGTCTGATTGGATCTGCTGCAGGAGGCAGAGGGAGGGCCTTATGCCTTCTGCCATTAGAAATATATTTTAAAGTATTTCTATTTGCTCCGTACCAAGTAGTTTTTAGAAAATACAGATCTATCAATCAATCAAATTTATTTTATAAAGTGCTTCTCATACAAATAAATGCAACACAAAGTGCTTTACATTCTTGTTACAAACAGTCTCATGCCCATGATCCGTCGACCACCCAGCAGACCCCAAACCACATTTACTGTATTATTAAGTATAAACACACAAAACATTTTTAAGATTGGAGCTCGAGAAATACAACTTTTGGACACATTTTTAAAATGGAAAAATCTGTTTTTGCAAATTAACTCTTCATATGTTCTTTGTTCGATGGTTGCATTTCACTGAATCACAGCTTTGTAAAAATGTATGTAACTTCTGTGTTGTATTTTAGACTGTTTTTCACATTTGCAGTTTAGTACTAAAGCCTTGTTTCCACCAGCCCTACTCTGCTCTACTGTGCTCTACAGGGTCAGTGGAAAAACCGTAAATCAGGGGAGAGTAGAAATAGGGCTGGTGGAAACAGGGCTTAGTTTTGGTCATTTGGGCCCTTCAGCAGGAGACCCTCAGCAGGAGCCCCTCTCGGTCACAGGCTGCAATTAGATTAGATTAGATTAGATTAATGTTGGTTCAGAAAATAGTTTGGACACCCCTAAAATAGTTGACATAAGAATACAACAAAGTCAATATTTTTCTTCAAATATCTCACATAATGTATTTAGAATAATAAATAGGGAGTGAAGTTTAAAAGTCTTAATTTCTTCTCACCTCTTTTTGAGCTAGATTTGTGTAAATAAAACAAACATACTGTATATTTGTATATTATCATGTCTGCTCATTTTGTTGTTGTTTTTGTTGTTGTTATCCTTTGTTCTTGTTTGCCATGGCTCCAAATAAAACATTCATAAACATTTTTTTCATAAAATCAAAAATTCATAATAACTTTGACACATTGATCTCGGATAGAAGCAGCACATTTTAAACCATAAACCAGTCAGTTGCGTTATGTCTCCACTAGATGACGCCCTCGCTCTGCCTCTGAGCTCCTCACTGAACGGCCTGAAGCTGGAGCTGGACTTACTGTCGTGCGTGGTCCCGCGAGGCGTACGTGACGTTAACCACAGCGGTCTCACTGTCCGTGTTCACTGCGGACACATGTCACAGGTCAGGCAAGGTTATTAGTATAGCACAGTTCATACACAAGGCAAGGTGCTGAACTAAAGAGATAGAGACAGTCACACAAGGATTAAAATCATAATCAGAGTTCATTAAAAAGAAAGATACAAATATAAAACACAGATGAACAAAACAGTTTTTAATCTGGATTTAAACATAGTCAGAGAATCCACAAACTCTTCATGAAGCCTGTTTCAGACACGAGTACACCAACCGTCTACAAAACCTTCTACACAACCGTCTAAACAACCTCCTACACAACCTCCTACACAATATGAAATCCTGCAGGGACAATGATAATATTATCATCAATGATAATAACAGATGACCTGTGTTGGTGATTTCAATGGTTTTGTTAAGTCCTCTGAGATGACTTCTGTTGTGACCTAGGGCTATACAAGAATAAATTGTATTGTATTGTATTGTATTGTAATAACTATGACGTTGTTAGTCCTTGTGTAGGAGGATCTTGGAGTGACGTCGTTGTTTATAGTTTTTCTGCGTCGGTCACGTGACTGTGTGGTAAAACAGCACAGAAAGCTACATGGATGCTACAGAGTTAGCTATTTTTAGACGCTTGGAGAGAGGTTTTACTAAATCAAATAGTCTGTTCCTGTTGTGTGGTCAGTAGTACGCCTCGCTGGGGACAGATTACGTTTTTTTCTAATTCTTTCGGAAAAGAACAGCGAAAAATGGCCATGGTAAAGTGATTGCCCTTTGATGCTGTTACCTACGGTAAACGTAGAACGGGAAGCCGGGGGGATGAGGGGATAAAAATTCATAAACAAATGTAAGTTTTGCAACTACTTTCACAGCGGACTTGTTCATTCATTCATTCATGAATGATGAATAATTTTAAACATTGCATTTTGGTTGCTCATCCCCACGGCTTCCTGTTCCACCTTTACCGTAAGTAACAGCAAAAAGGTGCAACCCGCTTTAAATGTGTGGCAAAATGCCAGGCCACTTTACCGCGGTGAAGACCCCTGTTGAGTGAAGTGTCCTGGGTTTTCTATGAAGTAGGAATAAATGTCTCCGAGTCCCAGTCCCAGCAGATCGGTGCCAAGACAGAGTCTGACCAATGTTTCTTCTCGTCATCCCAGGTGTCATCTGGGTTTTGGATTTGTTCAGTTCGGTCTCATATACTTATTTTTTGCTTGTCTTTATATCTCCTCTGATCTTCTTTCCCTAAAGTGCTTATATACCGTGCTATTCGCCCGCTGAGTCTTTTAAAAGTAGTCGTCCCATCCATGCTCCAGTATGCGCCGCTCTGTCTTCTTGCCACCCAGCGAGGGGCGCATGCGCACACGGGTGTAAACAATACACCTCCTATACAGTAAAGCAGCAGTGAAGCCGGTTGTGGAACTGAGACTAAGGCCCTGTCCACACAAAGTCAAGCTCAGGCCTAAACGCAAAAATACTTTATCAATCCAGTGTATCGTCCATACGAGGCCGGCGTTTTGGGGGGGTGTAAACGAACATTTTTGAAACCAGGTCCCAGAGTGGAAAGATTTCAAAACTCCGTATATGCCGCTCCGTGGTTACTGCCTCTCCGCAATGTATCTGAGACGCTTGCGTCATCGCCCCGCCTCTTGTTAAAGCACGCATGTGCCGCACTCAGAAAATAATGACAACAACAATGTAGCTTGTTGGTTTTGTAATCCAGTGTGACCCGAAGCAACAGTTCAACCTCATCGTCCGTTCATACTAATGTAGTACCAGCTCGCCCACTCGCCATGTTGTCTGTTTACAAAATTCCTCGCATGCCCACGGAAGTTTGGGCTTGATCCCGTCATTGCGTCACAGCGCCACCAACAGGTCTGGCATAGTTTCACAGCGTTTTCAGGCGTATTGACTACATTCATATGGACGCACACATTTACTGAGCTAACTCCGTGTTTACAGAAAAAGTTTCTGAAATTATAAGCGTTTTGTCTTCGTGTGGATATAGCCTAAATCAGTTCTTCTTCTTCTCTTTCAGGCAGATTTAGTTATGTTTAATGCTGCACTTTCACTTTATCTTTAACCTTTTGCACATATGACTGTTTTTGTATATTTGTATTTGTGTAAATAACTTGTACTTTTCGCTGCCACTGCCTGAAATAAATGAATGAAAAAGAACATGTTTTACCTTGTTCACAGTTTTCCACAGTCCCACACTGAGCCAAGAGTCCGTCCAGAACCTGCAGCAAAGACACACTGACATTATTATAGTATATAACTTTAGTATATAAACATTAGTATATAAACATTAGTATGTAAACATTAGTATATAAACATTAGTGTAAAAACATTAGTATGTAAACATTAGTATATAAAAATTAGTATAAAAACATTAGTATAAAAACATTAGTATATAAACATTAGTATAAAAACATTAGTATATAAACATTAGTATAAAAACATTAGTATATAATAGTGCTGTCCAACGATTAAAATATTTAATCGCGATTAATCGCATGAATTTCATAGTTAACTCGCGATTAATCGCAAATTAGTCACACATTTGCGTGCTGTGTGCAATTGCTTTTTTTATTGAAAACAATGTGTAGTGTTATATTACACACTAACATTTGATGCAAAATCATCAATAAATGGATGACAAAATAAATAATTGGTAACAAAAAGCCCCTTCAATGTGTGTGTGTGGGTGTGTGTGTGTATGTGTGGGTATAGACCATAGACTGTATAGAAACATCATGGTGTCATTATGATGATGATAAACAATCTGTAAATATTTTGTAAATTTGTTCATGTAAATACTCTATGCTGTTTCTCTGTTTACCTTCGGTATATCTATGACTGTATACTGTTTGCTTGTATTGCCTTTTTTATTAACCCCTCCCCCCATCTCCCACTTCATGTCCCCCCCCCCCCCCCCCCCCCCCTCCTATGTGCCCTTCTGGGTTTCTTCTTTGGCCCCCTGTATCTCCAACTACATATTGTTTGTAATCTCTGTCTACAATGTATCTGAACTAGTCCTTTTCTTTGTTTCTATGTGTTTGTCTGCAATAAAAAGTAAATTGCGCGATAAAAAAAATGACGGCGTTAATATTGATTTGCGTTAACGCGTTAATAACGCGCTATTTTGGACAGCCCTAGTATATAAATATTAGTATATAAACATTAGTATAAAAACATTAGTATATAAACATTAGTATAAAACATTAGTATATAAACATTAGTATATAAACATTAGTATAAAAACATTAGTATAAAAACATTAGTATATAAACATTAGTATAAAACATTAGTATATAAACATTAGTATATAAACATTAGTATATAAACATTAGTATAAAAACATTAGTATATAAATATTAGTATATAAACATTAGTATAAACATTAGTATATAAACATTAGTATAAACATTAGTACATAAACATTAGTACATAAACATTAGTATATAAACATTAGAATATAAACATTAGTATATAAACATTAGTATATAAACATTAGTATATAAACATTAGTATAAAAACATTAGTGTCTATTTCCCAATTAAAACGTTTATATCACATTCATGTTTATTTTTGTTCATGAACAAAGAGATTGTTATGATTCTTGTTTGGAAAAGAAAGAAACCAAAGATCAAAGTTCAATTCTGAATTGTTCTGTTACACTGAAGCAGTGACTTTTATTTGTTCGTTAATGATTTTAATGCTTTCTTCAAAGTTGACCTTCCTTGATCTGACAGGCCACAGTTTGTTTATAATTAAAGAAGTTAAAACACGATCAGATAAATACGGAGGTGAACGGACGTTAGTGTCGGCTTCAGTGAAATGGAACTGTCCGATAAAGAAGTTTCCAGATTTGATTCAGACTATTCCAGCTGTAGCTGCGGAGGTGACACGTCGCCCCCATGTGGAGAAGAGAGAGACCGCGGACTTGGCATCGTGCCCATCACAAGGCCCAGGACCAGGCCGAGAACCAGGCCCTGGACCAGGCTCAGGCCCAGGACCAGGCGTAGACCCAGGTCCTGCACCAGACTCAGGCCCAGAACCAGGCCAAGACCCAGGCCTAGACCCAGGCCTTGGACCAGGCTCTGTGCTTCTCTGTTCTGCTGTTCTCCCCGAGGCCTGAATGTGCCACACTCTCCTACATTTATCATTACAAACATCTTTTAACAACTGGAAACAATTAGAATCAAACACAACTTTATATTTTGTCTTTGATTAATTATTATTGATCATTTCTTTGGGATTTCAGGATAAGGACAGTTTCCTAATTGTGCAAATGTCGAGTATTGCACAAAGTGAAGGCACGGCACTAACAACTAAATTTAAATATATAAGTTTATGATTGTGTTGTCAGGGCGACAGAAGCTGGTGCTAAATCTGGTGCAGCATCTTTTTAATGTAACTGTACATTGTCCTTAATAAATAAACTCTAAACTGTAAAGGCCTCAGTTTCAAACATGAAATGGAGGATCTCTGGCTGAGGGCCTCGACACTGAGCAGAGTTTATATCACTGTTCAGGGTTCACAGAAGCAGCTTTAGCACTGAGTCTGGATTATTATTCAGTTAAATCATTGAATCTATACAATCTATCTCTTTTTCAGCAATGGTAAATATTAATTAAGTGACTGTTTGTATCTACAGCTGTTTAAATAGAGAGATAGATAGATAGACAGATAGAGATATAGATAGACAGAGAAATAGTGAGATAGATATAGATAGATAGACAGAGAAATAGTGAGATAGATAGACAGATAGATAGAGATAGATAGATAGATAGATAGATATAGACAGATAGACAGATAGAGATATAGAAAGGAAAAGGTGAGAGATCATTCCCCCTGTTCCACGTCCTTGTGCCGTGGATGAGTCTAGATCTTGTTGCCGTGTCTTATGTGACTGTTGAAATATCTGCTGATCATCATTGACCCAGATGAAGTGAACATAATCCAATAGACTGACCTCCCACCGCAGCTGAGGAGGAATGTTCCGGATCTGCAGCTTCCTGGTCCTGAGGAAACAGAGGATTTCACTCAAACTTTGCTCCACAGAAAAAAAACAGAAAAGGTTCAGTTTGTTCAGATGTTTGTTTGGGTTTGACAGAGTTTCAAAAAACAATTATTACTTCAAATGCTTTACCTTAAGCTTTGCACAACACATAATTAATAAAAACATATATATTTACACAATAGACAAGGCAAAGGGTAGAAGTAAAGCTTATGTTTTCTGCCCACTTTTTTGACCTATGTTTCTTTTTCTGAATTTCAACTGATTCTATTAAATTCACAGTCAGAACTTAAACATAAACTACTGTATTTTAGAAAATTGCTCTTGCATTGAACTATTTGTTATTATGTAAGTTATATGACTGTTTTCAGGACGACAGTTGGAAAGAAGCTGCTGCTAAATCTGAAGCATCATTTTAATGTAACACAAAATTGTACTTAATAAATTAAACACAAACATAAACTTAAGATATTTACAATCATTAAATTGACCGTCGTTTCCATAAACACCAGTGAAGTTGTCATTGCCTTTGGGCCTTCACCGCTGTCAGACTGTACAATAAGTCACTTTAATGACCTGCACTAAGAATGTAAACTCCCACTGCTAAAGTCTCACTGTAAAAAGTGATAAAAGAAATAAGACAAAAATTACTCAAATTTGGCAAAATGTGTCTGACACATTCTGACTGAGCGTTAAAACCAGATTCTCCAACGAGACCAAAATAATCCTGATTTAAAAAGACACAGAAAAGTCTCCTTTGGAATGAGGATATAACGCAACAGATCTTTAAATAAGACTAATTGTTTCAGTCCTGTTGGGAATCTTGTTTTAAGATTTAAAAAAATAAACTTGATTCAAACAATTTTTTCCTCATATTTGATAATTTTTTGCAGTGTAATTTTACTTTAACTGCACATAAGTTATCTTACACTAAAGTCTTTGGCACATCCTGAGCCTATTTCTGCCAAATGTGACCAGTGCATTTCTCTAATGTGAGATGAATAATGTTTATCTGATTGTGTGCAACAAAACACACAACTTTCTGCATTGTTAGTTTCTGTATTTGGACAGAACCTCAGTGGAGGCCGTGCTCCTGCGGACAGTTTTTTTATGTAGCACAGTTCATAAATATCTCAGTATATTAGAGAGAGTGGAGGCACAATCCTTCAGATGTAGGCCGAGCCGAGCTGAACTGTTTGAACCTGGATCATTTCTTTCTGTGATTAGACTTAAAAAGATAAACTAATAAATGAAACAAAGTGACATTTGTCGAGCATTGTGGTAATTGTGATGATTGTTCTCAGTCCTTTAAATAATATTATTAAAAAAAGTTCTAGTTTCATCCACGTCCTGAGGTTCGATATTTAGAGAAAGTCAGAAGAGGCCGAGGTGCTGGAGGCGAACCCAGAACCTTCTTCATAGATTTAGTTTAGTCTCATGTTTTATTTCCTCATTCCAAGCGAGACATTTCTGTGTCTTTGTGAAACACGATCCTTTTGTTTTTGTCCCATTCAGAGATCACTCCGTTTTATCATTTTTGATCCATTTCTGACTTGTTTTTCATGACTTTTTGCAGTGTATGTGTTTAGAGGAATTGAAGGATCTTAGAGTTAGGATCTTAGAGTTGAAGAACCAATGAATCTTTAATAATAAACAAATGTTTTCACCTAATTATGAATCTAGTTCTGTTCAAACATGTGCTGACTGGAGCTGGAGTCACAAACAAAAGGCCTTTCAAACACTCTCCGTTGGGTTTTTTAACATTTACATTCATAGTAAAGTTATAAATTTACTTTTAAATGTTTTTAATTTATGCATAATTTAAATTCAAAGGAAGACTTGTGCATAAATAGATTATTTCCTGTGTATCTGTATCTGACCTCTCATCCCTGCTTCTTTGTTATGCTAAAGCTAATTTAGTTTATTCTATTATAGCAGAGTTATTGTTCATTTATCGTGTGCTGTGTGCTCCTCATTCTACTGCTCTGTAACGATGCAACACTGACATTTCCCCGCTGTGAGAATCGAGGATCTCTTCATCTTTATCTCAAACTTTAGTCCAAAATGACACATCATTAAAGTTGTAGTTATTCTATTCTTACAGCGACCCTCGACCTCTCTTTGTCGCTGCCCAAACAGAGACCTTTGATCTCGCCAACCTCTCGCTACATGTTGCATTCTGAGGTCCGCAATGGAAATGTTAGACCACCCCCTGGAGCCCCCACCCCTACAGCCCCCACCCCCTACAGCCGCCGCTCCCACTGTGTCTCTGCTCCATGTCCACAGGCTTCATACCTGGCGCCCTCCTCTCACAACGTTTCTCTCTGTTCCTTTTGGATAAAACACTTCTGTTCCCCCCTGCTCCCCCCTGGACTGCCACCTTAACGTGGTGGGGGAGTTTGAGTACTCGGATGATCCTGGGAGCTATGCTGTCTGGGGCTTCATGCCCCTGGTAGGGCCTCCCATGGCAGACAGGTCTCGGGTGACGAGTCAGACAAAGAGCAGTCCAGAAGACACCATGGACAGCACTCATACGAAACCAGTGACGTCGCCCGGCATGGCGCAGCCGGGGCCCCACCCTGGAGCCAGGCCTGGGGTCGGGGCTCGTAGGCGAGCGCCTGGTGGCCGGGCCTTAGCCCACGGGGCCCGGCCGGGCTCAGCCCGAATGGACGACGTGGGCAGTCCCTCCTGTGGGCCCACCACCTGCAGAGGGGTCCGTGGTGGCATGGTGCAGAGAGGACTGGGCAGCAGTCGAAGGCGGAGACCTCGACGACCCAGTCCGCACACACAACAGCTGGCTCTCGGGACGTGGAACGTCACCTCACTGGGGGGGAAGGAGCCCGAGCTTGTGGGGGAGGTTGAGCGATACCGACTAGAGATAGTCGGCCTCACCTCCACACACAGCTTGGGCTCTGGAACCCAACTCCTTGAGAGGGGTTGGACGCTCCACTTTTCTGGTGTTTCCCGCGGGGAGAGGCGGCGAGCTGGGGTGGCCATTCTCATTGCCCCCCATCTCAGCCGCCACGTGTTGGAGTTCTCCCCGGTGAATGAGAGGGTCGCGTCCCTCTGCCTCCGGGTGGGGGACAAGTCTCTCATTGTTGTGACGGCCTACGGGCCTAACAGCAGTGCAGAGTACCCGGCCTTCTTGGAGTCCTTGGGAGGGGTATTGGACGGTGCACCGCCCGGGGACTCCGTTATTCTCCTGGGGGACTTCAACGCCCATGTAGGAAACGCCAGTGACACTTGGAGAGGGGTGATCGGGAAGAGCGGCCCCCCTGATCTGAACCCGAGCAGTGTTCAGTTGTTGGACTTCTGTGCCAGTCACAGTTTGTCCATCACGAACACCATGTTCGAGCACAAGGGTGTCCACCAGTGCACGTGGCACCAGGACACCCTAGGCCGGAGGTCGATGATCGACTTTGTTGTCGTATCATCTGACCTTCGACCGCGTGTCTCGGACACTCGGGTAAAGAGAGGGGCGGAGCTGTCAACCGATCATCACCTGGTCGTGAGTTGGATCCGCTGGCAGGGGAAGAAGCCGGTCAGACCTGGCAGACCCAAGCGTATAGTGAGGGTCTGCTGGGAACGTCTCGCTGAGCCCCCTGTCAGACGGACTTTCAACTCACACCTCCGGGAGAGTTTCTCCCAGGTCCCGGTGGAGGAGGGGGACATGGAGTCCGAGTGGACCATGTTCTCTGCCTCAATCGCAGATGCGGCGGCCCGTAGCTGTAGTCGCAAGGTCTCTGGTGCTGGTCCCGGCGGCAACCCCCGAACCCGGTGGTGGACACCGGCAGTAAGGGAAGCTGTCAGGCTGAAGAAGGAGTCCTATTGAGCCATGATGGTTCGGGGGACTCCTGAGGCAGCTGTCCAGTACCGGCAGGCCAAGCGTGCCGCGGCCCGGGCTGTTGCAGAGGCAAAAACCCGGGACTGGGAGGAGTTCGGAGAGTCCATGGAGCATGACTATCGGTTGGCCTCAAAGAAATTCTGGCAAACCGTCCGGCGCCTCAGGAGGGGGAAGCAGTTCTTTGCCAACACCATGTACGGTGCAGGTGGAGAGCTGCTGACCTCGACGGGGGATAATGTCGGGCGGTGGAAGGAATACTTTGAGGTTCTCCTCAATCCCCCCGTCACGTCCTCTGTCTCAGAGGCAGAGGCTGAGGATGCTGGGGCGGATACATCCATCTCCCTGGCTGAGGTCACCAAGGTGGTTGGTAGCCTCCATGGTGGCAAGGCTCCGGGTGTGGATGAGATCCGCCCTGATTATCTAAAGTCTCTGGATGTTGTAGGACTGTCTTGGCTGACACGTCTCTGCAACATCGCGTGGCGATCGGGGGCGGTGCCAATGGAGTGGCAGACCGGGGTGGTGGTCCCTCTCTATAAGAAGGGGGACCGGAGGGTGTGTTCCAATTATCGTGGGATCACACTCCTCAGCCTCCCCGGTAAGGTCTACTCCAAGGTACTGGAGAGGAGGCTACGGCCGATGGTCGAATCTCGGATCCAGGAGGAGCAGTGTGGTTTTTGTCCCGGTCGCGGAACACTGGACCAGCTCTATACTCTCCATCGGATACTCGAGGGTTCATGGGAGTTCGCCCAACCTGTCCACATGTGCTTTGTGGATTTGGAGAAGGCGTTCAACTGTGTTCCCCGGGGTGTCCTTTGGGGGGTTCTCCGGGAGTACGGGGTCGGGGGTGCTCTGCTGAGGGCCATGCGGTCCCTGTATGACCGGAGCCAGAGCTGTGTTCGCATTGCCGGCAGTAAGTCAGACCTGTTCCCGGTGAATGTTGGCCTCCGACAGGGCTGCCCTTTGTCACCGGTTCTGTTCACTGTATTTATGGACAGAATATCTAGGCGCAGCCAGGGGTCGGAGGGGGTCCGGTTCGGGGACCACAGGATTTCATCTCTGCTGTTTGCGGACGATGTTGTCCTGTTGGCTCCAACGAACCAGGACCTGCAGCATTCACTGGGACGGTTTGCAGCCGAGTGTGAAGCGGCTGGGATGAGAATCAGCACCTCCAAATCTGAGGCCATGGTGCTCGACCGGAAAAAGGTGCCCTGCCCTCTTCAGGTGGGTGGAGAGGTCCTTCCTCAAGTGGAGGAGTTCAAGTATCTCGGGGTCTTGTTCACGAGTGAGGGAAGAATGGAGCGTGAGATTGACAGGCGGATCGGTGCAGCGTGCGCAGTGATGCGGTCGCTGTATCGGACCGTTGTGGTAAAGAGGGAGCTGAGCCGAAAGGCAAAGCTCTCGATTTACCGGTCAGTCTTCGTTCCCTCCCTCACCTATGGTCATGAGCTTTGGGTAATGACCGAAAGAACGAGATCGCGGATACAAGCGGTCGAAATGAGCTTCCTCCGCAGAGTGGCTGGGCGCTCCCTTAGAGATAGGGTGAGGAGCTCAGTCACACGGGAGGAGCTCGGAGTAGAGCCGCTGCTTCTCCACGTCGAGAGGAACCAGTTGAGGTGGCTCGGGCATCTGTTCCGGATGCCTCCTGGACGCCTCCCTGGGGAGGTGTTCCGGGCACGTCCCACCGGGAGGAGGCCCCGCGGAAGACCTAGGACACGCTGGAGGGACTATGTCTCTCAGCTGGCCTGGGAACGCCTTGGGGTCCCCCCGGACGAGCTGGAGGAAGTGTGTGTGGATAGGGAAGTCTGGGCGTCTCTGCTTAGACTGCTGCCCCCGCGACCCGGCAACGGATAAAGCGGAAGAAAATGGATGGATGGATGGCACTTCTGTTCCTCAGCTGCTTATGGTCAAAAAGAGTGGAACCTTTTTTTGTTGAATGCATTTAAGTCCAGACTGAGACGTCCTCATTATGTAACTGTTTATATAACATGTGTGTAACTGTGTGTAACTGGTGCTGCTTCGTCCAGGACTCAATGGGACTTTCCTGGATAATTAAAGTTTAAAAACGGTTAAATAACAAATAATAAATAAAAAGAGCAGGATTCATTCTGCCTGTGCTGAATCCACATCTATCGCTCAGGCTGGAACCAGGACCAATGCTAATGGAACCAGGGCCAATGCTATTGGAACCAGGACCAATGCTAATGGAACCAGGGCCAATAATGGACCAATCAGAGCAGGAGGAAAACAGCAGAGTTTGTTTCACTAAAGTGGATTTATGGAAAACTTCTCAGTCAGGTTCTCTGTCAGGTTCTCTGTCAGGTTCTCTGTCAGGTTCTCTGTCAGGTTCTCTGTCAGGATCTCTGTCAGGTTCTCTGTCAGGTTCTCTGTCAGGTTCTCTGTCAGGTTCTCTGTCAGCTGAGGTCGTGCTGTTTTTGTTTATATTGAGTTCTATGGGGAACATTTCTGTGTAGCCCACACAATCTTAGTCTTAGTCTGCAGTACCACGGGAAGCCCCCGAGCCCGTGGGTGCTTCAGCTATAAGCTAGTACGACCTTATCCATAAATTACTATAGATCCATGGGAGCAATGCTAATGGAACGAGGAGCGATGCTAACTCCCTCCTTGTCAGCTCGTCCTGGGCCCACAGTGCTGCTAACGCCGGTATTGCCCCAACCCCCAACCCCCAAACCGCCGCTGAACTGGCCTGACCCGCGGGTTGACGCCTGGAGGCCTCCCCCATTGGCTGAAACCATGGCAACAGGCCAGGAATGACTGCATAGGCAACAAGATGGATGGTTTGACACAACAGTTATGGTTATCAAGTGTCCACAAGGTCAAAGGATGGAGAGGAGAAGACAATGTTTAAGTTACCACAAGATATTAGAATAAGATGAAGATGTTTTACTCGTCCCACGGTGAGGAAATGTCAGTGTTGCATCACCAGTTACAGAACAGTAGGAAAAATATAAAATCTCTATATGTAGTAATTTTAGCATAATAAAGAAGCAAGTGTGTAATCTTATCCATATGTTATACTATGGACCTCTGTTATAGCTGTATTACTGCTAAATATTATTATCTGAATAACTGAATATTTATATCTTAATCATTAATATCTCAGTGGTGACGTCTCCGTTCTTAAACCGTGGTACAGGTGCAACAGCCACTGCCCCTGTCTTCATTTCTCGACAAGTATAAATGTCTAACTTCAGCATAATAAAAAATAAACAAGTATAAATCCTGTACATTCTAGACTAGAGCATAAATATAGAGTTGTATGTTAGCTTGTTAGCATGAGGCTCTGGGATACAGGGACAGTGACACAAGTGCTTCCATATTACACATTATTATAGCCTACACTAATGATTGTATTAGAATAAATTACTCAAACGCATAAACATCAGTCCATATCAAACATAACATTTGGAAGAAACTAAAGAATAATGTTCTTAGCGTTCAAACAATACACGACTTTATTACTGTTTAGATACTGTTGATCTTTTTATCATCTGCCCAGAATATGAATCTATGATGTGGAAGAAAGCAGTGACATAGGGCTGATAAATATACTGTGTAAATATATGTATATTATGTAAATACTGTATATATGTTTTATGGATGAGCCACTGGGATCTGTCAGTCTGTGTCAGGACTGGACTCTGTGAGGGTTAAGAACAGCAGGAAGAATACTGAAGAGGATGACAAAGTCTGGGATCGCGTCTTAAATTCAGACAGAAGACATGTTTTATTGTCGATGGTAGAGACAGCACGAACAAAGCACACAATCACAGATACAAGAGAATGCAAGTGTATTATACAGAGCGGAGGCATGGAGACCCCCAATCAGCAGCTGCCACAGTGCCATGTAGCTTGGCCTTCAGATAGACAAAACAAGGGAAAAGTACTGGCTTCTGCACATTGATAGAATGATGAGTTTAACCTTAACAAAAGTTGCTTCAAAGTGTTATGAAATCTCACATTCCCCCTTCTGGTCACACATTCCCGTGTGACCATCAGGATCAATAAACAGCAACATAACATCATAACTCAATACTTCAAAAACTCATAAACTCGGTACTTCACTCTGTACTTCAAAAAACTCAGAACTCGGAATACTTCAAAAACTCATAAAACATGTTCAGATCTTTCATAAAACTTGTCAACAATCTTCAGTAAAATACCAAACTTCATCAGTCGATGGTGGTTCCAGATATTGCTTTGAAAACAGTCTCTCCCACTTCTCCGTTTTAGTTTTCTTCAGGCTGCATTTGTGTCGAGCCATGAATTCTTCTGTGACGTGTCTTTCAATCACACGTTTCAGCTTCAGTGTCCAGATTTAGCAATTCAATTCAGTCCAAATTATGTCCAAATTCAGAAATCCAATTGTTCCAAATTATGTCCAAATTGTGTAATCCAATTTTTCCAAATGGTGTCCATGCAAAAGAGGACGATGGTGTTGTCCATGTCTCAGCAGCTCACAGCTTGAGTGGACTCAGGGGCTGTGCAGATTGTCCAAGTGTGCTGGTCCAGATGCATTCTCTTGAGGTTTCTCAGTTTTGGCTTAAAAAAAAACACTTTTTGTGTAAAAAAAAAAAAAGTCTTCTGTTCTCTAGATGTTACAGACAAGGCCCGCATCCTTCCACCACCTGAAGAGGATGACAAAGTCTGGGATCGCGTCTTAAATTCAGACAGAAGACATGTTTTATTGTCGATGGTAGAGACAGCACGAACAAAGCACACAATCACAGATACAAGAGAATGCAAGTGTATTATACAGAGCGGAGGCATGGAGACCCCCAATCAGCAGCTGCCACAGTGCCATGTAGCTTGGCCTTCAGATAGACAAAACAAGGGAAAAGTACTGGCTTCTGCACATTGATAGAATGATGAGTTTAACCTTAACAAAAGTTGCTTCAAAGTGTTATGAAATCTCACAATACGACTGTAACCAATATTTTACATTCAGAGTCTGTGTAAGGACCAGTTATAATTCATTTATTGTCACAAAAGGTTATGAAAAAAATTGTTTCGTGATTTATCATTACAGCCCACGTCCATCTTTATGAACAGAGTCAGGCAGTTAACGGATGAAAATGAGCTGAAATACAATAAAATAGACTTCACGCTGATTCAAAGAGGTTTGTTTTGTCTTGTTGAGTTCAAATGTGTAAAGACTAAAGTTAGACTCTGTTAAGTTGCAGATCTATGAACCATCTTCAGCCGAAACACGTTAAGAAGGTTCCAACACAAAACCAAACACATTTGGTATTTTTTGTATTATATAGAACCAAGTTTATAATGAAAGAGGTAAAAGTGAATGAGGAGAGTAGTGCTATAAGAAAAGGCTTTAGAGGGCGAGGTCATGGGTTAAAGCACTTTAACCCAGACTGAGGAGCCGTGGGAGCAAAGTGCCACCACAGAAATGTGCAGATAAACCACAGAAGACAAATAACTACTGGAGCCACAGCAGCACAAGAGCAAAGGACACTCTGCAAAACCTTTCCCCACACTTGGAACACTGAATTATTTCAGATGTATTTATTATGGACAGTGCCTTGAGGTGAATCCTCTCTTATTCGTCAGACACAGACAAAGAACAGACAAAGAACAGACAAAGAACAGACAAAGAACAGACAAAGGACAGACAGACCATAGGAACATACGGTGAGATCTAAACAACAACATCACAGAGACTGTTGCTGGTCCATCTCATACCCGTCTCTGTCTGCTCCTACAGTCACTCTGAGACAGTTATTGATTGTTGATGATCTTAAAGCTACTTAGAAGTGAAATGTTATCACTATTTAATCACCGAGGCCAATTTCAAGCCTCTTTAAGAGTTTAAAAAAAAAAAAAAGTGATGAAAAACGAGCGAAACATTTCTCAAATTTGACAAAATGGTTCTTAATCTGACACATTCTGACTGAGCCTTAACAGGACAAAGCAAAATGATCTTGTTTCAAAAAGATACAGAAATGTCTCCGTTGGAATGAGGAAATAAAGAAACAGTTCTGGAAATAAAACAAATTGTCTTGGTCTCGTTGGAGAATCTGGTTTTAAATCAGAATGTGTCAGATTAAGATAAAAACCACTGCTTCAAGCTGTTAATACCTCATATTTTATAGATTTGTGTGTGTAAATAATCCTCCTCCAAACACGACACTGATTTACAAAGGAAACTCTAACTCCACATGATCTACATTTATAATCAGATCTTTATGCAGAGTTGTGTGTGTGACAGTAATAAGCAGTTCTCAGCAGGAGAGAAGCACTTCCACCTCACAGCAGGAGGCTCCAGCTCACTTCACTCAGAACCATTTACAGCAGAGAACGACTGCCCAATGCATGCGGCTCCGCAGAACCAACATGCGGCTCCGCAGAACCAACATGTGGCTCCGCAGAACCAACATGCGGCTCCGCAGGTCCTGCAACTGAGGAGGGGCCACCCGGAGGTGGCTTTTCTGTCACTTCAACCAACTTTGACAACTAAAGAACAAGTGTCTCTCCGTCAGAGGAGTCGATGGAACCGTCGAAAAATACAACTTAAGGCTCCAGAACTAATGAGGTGAAGAGAATCAGCCAATGTCTGGGATCGTGTCTTTAATTCAGACAGAAGACATGTTTTATTGTCAATGGTAGAGACAGCACGAACAACACGAGAAACAGAGACCTCCAATCAGCAGCTGCCACAGTGCCAGCAGAGATAGTCAAAACAAGTAGTGGAAAAGTACAGGCTTCTGCACATTGGTAGAATGATGAGTTTAACTTTAACAAAAGTTGCTTCAAAGTGTTAGGAAATCTCACAGAGGCACAAAAACTATAAACATTATGGAGAAGAATAGAACATGAATATGTTTAATAACTGATTGTAGAAGATGAAGTTCTGTGGGAAGAGAACTTAGAGACTTTTTGCTTTGTCCCACTGGAGAATCTAGTTTTAGGCAGAAAGTGTCAGATTAAGACACATTTTGCCAAATTTCAGCATTTTTTACTTCAGAACATTTACCTCACTGCATGACTTTTGGCAGTGATGTAAATGTCTCACTGGGAGATCAATAAAGTTTATCTTTAAACTAGGGCTGTCAAAATTATTGCGTTAACGCACGTTAATTAATTTTTTTCATTAATCGCGTTAAAAAAATTAACGCATTTGACGCATGCCCATGCGTCCCATAATAACACTCAGAATGCCGCGGACACATGCGCGTGTGTAAGATGGGGACAGAGCAGGTAGGCCCTCTGGGAATTCAAGTTTTGAAAGAATACACGCGTGACCGCGGGGCACTTGTTGTTTCCTGTATGAACTCTGCATGATGAGCTGCAGCCGCCACAGCGCTCTGGACAGCAGGTCCTCCAGCGACTGTGATCACGGCGAGCGGCGCTGCGTAATGGGATCATATCCAAGACCACGCACAGAACTATTCTCTAGTGTGCGTACGTGTCTTTGCGTAACCGATGCACACAATATGTACAGCGCTGAAGCTGGACTGCGGAGCCTCAGTCTCCTTCGTGTCTTCTCCCGAAGCGCACTCGCTAAATTAAAGCCGAGGTACCTAATTTTCCTTTCGACCATCAGTTCATGTTCGTTGTGCCAAAAAAAAGTAATGGTGTGAGCAAATCAAACAGTTTTTATGACATTCTGCTTCAGACTATTTTGAAATGTCCCTCATCTGTAACAAACAATGGTTTTGGTCTGAGTCTAAATAGAAAGACAATAATAATGTTAATTCCATTTTATAT